CAGGAAAAACAGGTTTGTCAAGTTTTGGCTGCCAGGTAGAATGTTTTCAAGAGGTTTTGAAATATGGTATCTTTAAAATTGTTTAATCTGAATTTGTATGTCCTCTGTTGTTCTAAAATGAAATAGAGTAACACTGGGTGAGTCAGACAGTAATATACCACCTAAGTAATGTGCTCTTCCTGGTGCATAGCAAGAAACACACATTGTTGATTTGTCTCATTACTGGTGATACTAACTTTAATCGCTTAGTTAAGATAGTTTCTGCCAGATTTCTTCTGGATTAAGTAAACAAGTTAGTATATTATACCTAATAATAACCATCTTCTGGGGAGATTCCTTAATAAGACTACATGAATATTCCTGGGCGCCTGCGTGGCTCAGTCGGTTAAGTGTCTGCCTTCAGCTCAGGTCATGACCCTGGGATGGAGTCCCTGCTCAGTGGGGAGTCTTCTCCCCCCTCTATCCCTCCCCCCTTCTCATGCTCTCTCTCTCTCTCAAATAAATTAAAAAAAAAAAAAAAGCCTATGTTAATATTCCTCTTTGCCATCAAATTTTCACCCACCATATTTAGCATCCTTTGAGGATTCTTAGCTAAGTAATTATCTCTATAATGATTGTAAGCTGGTTTTTCTAATTCCATCATTCCCTCTGGATTTATTGGTTGGCAATCTACTGTGGAATAGAGTATTTCCTTCTTCTCCATTTATTTATTCATTTATGCCAGCATGAGCATGTGGATTACTATTTTACTTAAAGCATTATAATATGTTACTATCATTCTTTCATGCTCAAATTTTCCCAGACCTAAGAACTCCTTTAAGCTAGTTCCTATGTTCTTTTAACATGCATCCATTACTGTTTGAGCACCTTCTTACTTTCTGGTGCAAGACAATGTTCCAGGTTCATCTTGTATTTTCCCAGCCCCAATCTTGGGATAGTATCTCCAAGGAACACTGATTTCTTTTAGTGAAGGATACAATTTAGAAACCAAGATCTGGGTGCTAGGTGTGTTCATTGCTATGTGAGTATTACTGCTTCTAGGCACTATCAGCAGAATTAGGAAATATGTATGCATATGTACACATAACACACAGCTGTATCTGTTTCTCCATCTCTCTCTCTATATATTAAGTGCCACAAATTCACTCTGATACTTCAATTCCAATCCAATACCATGGGGTTTATTCTTGCCTTCCTCTTTCCCATTATTCTCATAAAATGTATTTATTTGCTCAGTTAATCTAGTATGTAACCAAACTCCCTGTCCCTTGGCCCTAGTAAAGACGAAGTAGAAGAAAGAAAAGGCCAGTGTGGTCCAAGGCATGCCAGCCCCAATTTCCTGGTTTATCAGCCCAAAGGTAGGACCCAATCTTCCTGTCTACTTCTCTCCTCTAAGTTGTAGACCCACATTTTCAGTTTACAGATTCCATAGGACATTATCACCTTAATTGTACTGTTGACATTTGGTTGAAAATGTAAGTAGTTGTCTTTTTACGCCATCTATATTCTTCCTCTAATATTTTCACTTAAGTCAGTGGCAGCACTCGGGCTAAAAATTTCAGTTGTCTTGGAAACCTCTACTTCATAATTCCAACACACAAGCTACTTCATGTGCCATGACCTTTAGCTCTTCTTTGTATTCCCAAGACCTAGTGTCTATAACCTACTTGTGACTCTATGTTACATGAGGTAAACATTCATTTGGTGGACAGGATCAAATCTCATAGCTGCTAACTAAATAGCTTTCCAATTTACACCCTTCCATCCACCTGCTATTTGTAGAGTTACCCTCATACTTGTTACAAGATCATATTTGCTATTTTTGAAAATCAGCACTTTCCATAGGATTTTCCCTAATGCTATAATGCTCTGCCTCCTTTTTGTCCATATTAATATTTTACTTGCCTTTCAGAACAAGCTTAAAGGTCATTTTTACCATGAGTTTCTCTTATTTCCAAGCACCCCCTTTTCTTATTCCTATGCACTATTGTGCCACTTAAATTCTGCTCTGTATTATAGTTCATTGCACATATCCATCTCTCCAACTAGATTAGAGAATACCCTTAAGACAGAAACCAATACTATTTATTTTTACATCCCAATAAATTGGCATAATATACTATACACCCAGTAGATGCTCAAAAAAGCATTGTCAATTCATTTCCATGTTTTGCAGATCAGTTGGCAATGAATTTCATTGTTTCCACTTTACCTTCTCCTTAGTCCTTAATGTTTATAAATCTGATTTCTATACCAGCTACTTTAATGAAACTTCTATAGCTGATGATAAACCCAAGCAGATATAGCTTTATGAGCAAAAGCATGCAGGTAGGGCCTAGAATGGCTAATCTGTGTGTTGGTAAAACTTGGCTGAAGCAGATGTTGTATTAATGCAGTGCTCGGAAGAGAGGTAAAACCCATGGAATCAGTGTAGCATTGCCTTGTTACACTGACTCTTAAGATTAAGATGCACATACTCTCCTGTGCTGTACATTTTTGGGCAAGCCAAACCTAGGATAGGGACTACAGAAAAGATTTCCTCCTTTTCCCCTCCAAGAAATGCATATTCTCAAGAAAAGGGAAGGAGGAATTCAACCCACTAATCACAGACTCTTTAGGTTTCTTCACTTTCAAAACAGCAATTAATTCATACTGTGGCTTTTTCTCCCATTCCTTAGAGAATTAACCGGACTATACCATGCATGTACAGCAATAAAACACAACCCTTTTGTAGCTCCTTGCTTGATCACATTCTAACAGTAGTTCATATATTGGAAGCAAACATGTATGCCAAGGCAATAGTACATTATGCCTGTACTGTTTGTATCTTCCTTTTTGATGAGGCAATCTAAAATTCCCATCCTAGAAATAGACATCTGGGCCTCAACTCCTTCAGTAAGATCTACCTGGCAGATCAGACCCAATCCTCAGATAGATGCTTTGTGTGTCTGCCCCTACATACCTTGATAAGTCTAGACATTACCCAAGGGGAACATGGCAAGAGTGGAAGGATCAATGAAATACATCTTTATTCCTACATTCAAGGAGAAACTTAATAAATCTTGATATCAAATACTCTGATGGTTTGATTAAAAGGTACCACATACCTGTAACACATAACAAGCATCTTAATATGTGTATCAGAAACTTCAGATTTAGCATGTTCATAACAAAATATTCAAGTGTTTTCTCCCCTCTCCACCCTAAACCCATACTTTCTTGTAATATATCTAAAATGTTTACAGTGTCCAAAGCTAGAACCCAAGTAGAATGGAAAGGAACAGGTTAACTTCCTTTGCAATTGCAAAAGAAGATCCAAATAGTGAAACTATTTCCAAGTTTTGCTAATCAATTGGCAACGAAGAATTTCATTGTTTCCACCTCACCTTCTACTTACTCCTTAATGTTTATAAACCTGATTTCCATACTGGCCACTTAAATGAAACGTTTTAGTGAAGTTATATGGTTTTCTCTGGGGCTCCGTTCACGATCCTTCTCTCATTCTACTAATTTCTGCTATGTTACCTTATACATTTCTCTCAATCACCACAGACATACCAACAATTCCCAAATCTGTACTGATGAGATCAGTCTTCTCTTCTGAGTTCAAAATTCAAATTATCAACCATCTCTATTAGATTCAGCATATTGGTAATAAGACATTAAACAGTGTCCTTTCTTTTCTCTCCACCCTAAACCTAATTCTTCTTCTATATCCTTAAAATGTTCATGGCATTTGTGGTAGTTAAAAAATGTTCACAAATTCTTCCTTTATTCCTCCTTTCAAGAGGTGGAGCTTGAGTGTGCACTTACTAACTTATATCTAATGAGGAAAATATGGCAGAAGGGACAGTATTTGACTTCCAAGACAAAAAGACATTGTGGTTTCCTCTTTGCTCTTTCTCGAGTAGCTCACTTTGGGGTAAGCCAGCTGCTATGTCATGAGGATACTCAAGCAGACCCATGAAGAGGTACATGCAGTGAGGATAAGGCTTCCTGCCAACAATCAGTGAAAGACTGGCACCACCTTTTTGAAAGTAGATGCTCTAGCCGGTCAAACCTTGAGAGGAATGCAGCTCCAGCCAACAGGTTAACTGTAACTTTGTGAAAGACCCTGAGCCAGAGACACCTAGCTGAGCTGCATTTTCTGATGCAGAGAAACTCTAAGATAATAAATGTTGTTTTAACTAAATTTTGGGGTAATTTATTATGCAGCAATATATAACCAATATTGCATCCAAACCTAGAATCCAAGGAACAAATATGGTGAAAGGAAATGAACATTTTATTTTTTATTTTTTTTTTAAAGATTTTACTTATTTGAGACACAGAGAGAACAAGCAGGGGGTAGGGGCAGAGGGAGAGGGTGAAGCAGACTCCCTGCTGAGCCGGGAGCCTGATGCAGAGTTTGATCCCTGGACCCTTGGATCATGACCTGAGCCAAAGGCAGACCCTTAACTGACTGGGCCTCCCAGGCACCCAGGAAATGAACATTTTAACTTAACTCTTCCCACTCTATCCACACTCATCCTCCTACTTTCTCAATGAGTAACACCACTATTTACCCAGTATCCAAAATGAGAAATTGGGATTTCTCTGGAAGCCTTATTTAACTCTTCCTACCAACTGTTTCACTAAGTTATCATTTTTTTCTCCTGTTACTTGAGCCCATCCCTCTTACTTGAGCCCATCCCTCTTACTGCTTTAATTCCAGGCCTTTACCTTTTTTCAATTATTATAACACAGCTTTCCAACTTTTCTCCTTTCCTACAGTCTTTCCCAGCTCTATTTCATTCTCTAGATTAATGCTAACAAGAGCTTTTTCAAAAGCCTATCTGATCATGTTATTTTTTTTAATTTAAATTCACTACTGATTCCCACATTGCACAGGACAACATTCAAATGTCATAGCATGGCATGTCTGTCCCTGTCCTACAGCTTTTTCTCTCAAATCCAAGTTCAGAGCCTACAATCTGGCCAACTTTCACCTTTGCATATGCTTCTTTCTTTCTTTTTTTTTTTTTAAAGATTTTATTTATTTATATGAGAGACAGAGAGCAGGAGAGGGAGGAGGGTCAGAGGGAGGAGAAGCAGACTCCCCGGCGAGCAGGGAGCCTGATGCGGGACTCGATCCCGGGACTCCAGGATCATGACCTGAGCCGAAGGCAGAAGCTCAACCATCTGAGCCACCCAGGCGCCCTGCTTCTTTCTTTCTATGTTAAGACCTTTCATTCTTTCCTTATAATTCTTACACACTTTTTTTTTTAAGATTTTATTTATTTATTTGACAGAGAGAGAGAGAGAGAGAACAAGCAGGAGGAGCAACAGAGGGAGAGGGAGAAGCAGGCTCCCTATCTGAGCAGGGAGCCCGATGCAGGGCTCGATCCCAGAACCTGGGATCATGACCTGAGCCAAAGGCAAACGCTTAACCGACTGAGCCGCCCAGGCACCCCTCTTACACACTTTGAAAAGACTCACCTCAACCTTCAACTCACTTTCCTTAACTATCAGGTTCAGGTTATATGGCTTTCTTTTATTACTTTATCAGAGCACTTACCCATAGATCAGTATTGTGTCCTCCACTAGAATGTGAGCTCCTGGAAAAAATAAAATCTATCTTTGATATCTAGACATTCATTTAGTCATACATCCAACTTATATTTACTAAGCAATGCAAGACAGTAATACCAGGTTAGGTGTTTGTTACATAATTGTGAACAAAACAAATATGTTCCTGGCCTTTGCATAGCTTATAGTCTAATCAAGAAGAAAGTAAGTCAAATAAACAAATACTGCGATATGTGAAAAAAGAATATTATGTGAGTAACAATGCGGACCTACTTTAGACTGTGAGCCACACAAATGCAAACATTTATTGAACTAAATGTTTTCCAAGAGGTATGTATAAATTATACCTTCACCATAGGTGTAAGTGGACCAGGTTCATCACATCCTTGCCAACACTGACTCTGCTTAACACACGGTTGCCACAAACCTTCAATTTGTAAAAAATGTGGTATCTGCAAAGTGCAACAAAGCAAAGTGCAATAAAATGAGGTATGCCTGTACTAAAAATCAAGGGAAAAAACACAAACATGATCAAATACATGTTATAAAAGAGGCTTGATTAAGCACAAGTGAAAAACCAAGACTAGATTTATATATATTATCAGGAACATTGAAATATATGGCTAAGATAATTTCAAAATAATTACTTGCAAGACCACACATTTTACTAGGTAAAAAGTAATATTAAAAATCAAAAGCCAAGTCTTTCTGGTATTCAGAAGTCTGAAGAAATCATTGTCTAGCTTTTTAAAAAGAGCAAATTCCAAGGGAATCCCTGCCTCTCCCTTGGTTCACTGCCAAATGATTCACAACTAAAATATTTCTGGGATATGGGAATATGGGACAAAGTTAAAAAAAAAGATCATGTCCATTAAAAAAAAAAAAGCATTGTTTTAAAAAGGGAACGGAAGGCGGAGGAAATTATATATTAAAATATATAAAATAGTTTTAATAATTATTTATTAATTTAAAAATATAATGGAATAAATAATTGAAAACAAAACTTGGTAGTTGAAGATAAAAATACTCAACTGTTACTGATAATAGTTGAGAAGATTTCTTGGACTAGTTTCTTATATTAATATAAAACACATTAAAAAGTTCCAAAAACAAAGCAGATTACAAAACTTGTATTTTACAAATGATGCACATATTTCTGAAACTTTTAATGCACATTAAAGGACAAAGACACAAAAATTAAATAAGTCCATTCCTTCTTAAGTCCAAATTGGCTACAGTAACATCAGGTGATGATAAGCTTTCCAAATTCAGCTATGTGGTCCTAGGAAATTTAATCAGTATAGATGAGAAAAGATATTTTATTTTTTACCACGTTAACCTTGTCAGTTGAAATGATGAGCTTTTTCTGGAAAACACACTCATCTCTGCTTTCAGTAGCATTATTTGAACACTCAGCTGAAATTTGTGCCAAGAGATAGAGGGATCTATCACCAAACCTTTAACACCACAGAAGGTTTGTTTTTTTAAAAACAAACTGATGGTTGACCAACAAGAAATTGTTAACTTGTGACTTTTTCAGGAGAATGAACTTTTTTATTTTTAATTTTAAGTTTTGGCTTGTGCAATGGAATTTCATCAAGTTTTTAAAGATGTTAACTTTATTAACTTGCAACAATCATCGTTTTAAAATAGTATATAAAAACTGTCACAATGGGTCAGAAGCAAGGTTTACATTGGCTCAAAATTATCTCTGATAGTGGCAAGATTCAACTTTTTGAGCCAATCTCAACAGACTGGTGATATAATTCAAATTACTAACATTACATACAATGATAAATATTGCTCTTGAAAAAAGCAAATTATTTTCCTATTTAACAGTTTTTGGAAAAGGTCTACTATAAAAATATTTCTCTTCTCTATGTTTCCCTGCCATGATACTGTTAAAACATATCTGGATTCTCCTCAAACATCATGTTAAGAGTATAACATTCCATTTTAGCTGAAACATTCCTTCACATAGCCAATATATTTTTTCAAGGCACTCTAAGAACTCTCAAGGACACTACAAGAAAAATGTTCATCTTGTCCACTGATCTTCTAGGCATATTTCCCCTCAAACTTTTCTAAAGTGAACGTTGTTACAACTAGTTCTTCCTCATTTTCCATAGTAGAGTCCTTAAGTTATTTTTCTTTTATTTGGAGCTTCTCCTTCATTTTCAACTTGCTGAGCAGGCAGACTTTTCGTTTCCATGGAAACTGGATTCCTACGGCTGCGTGTAGGCATTCTTGTTCCACCAACCTAAGAGATGAAGCAAAGAATAGTTTAACATGTTTACAAAATATTTATATATGGTCAACTCTGCTCTGTATTATTTATAATATGTACTAATTACCTTGCAAATCGTCCTTTATATGTTTTTAATCTCCAGCTACCTGGCTGCTTCTAAACAAGCTTTAATCTGACACAGTTTAAGGTACTAAGCAATCAGGGAAGGAATAGGTCAGGGTAGATGGAGAGAAATGAAGGGGAAAACCACTCTGCGTTAAATCTGGAAGAGGCTGAAATGTTAAATTAGAAAATGATGGAAGGACAGGACTTATGAGCAATGTGTTTGCAATAATATAGCTGAAGGGCAGAAGAAAGGAAGAAATGAAAAATACGAAGGGAGAGAAAGGAAATACAAGAAACAGGTCGGAGGTGGTAAAGAGGGAGAAAAAAATTACAAAATGGAGAAAGGGACAAAGACTAAGAAAGACAAGTCTACAGAGAAAAAGGGGGAATAATAAATGTTGAAAAACAGGAAGGCAAAAGAGAAAATAACCCAAGTAAAAAGGAAAAGTTGAGGGACTAAGAGAAGATTCTTGCAAGAAAGAAAGAGAAAGGGGAAGAAAAAACTGGAAGGAGGCTACAGAGGAAAAAAAGGAAGAAGGGAAGTGGGAGGAAGAAAGTTTGTCGGGGTGCTGGTTCTACCTTAATATCAACTCCTCCTCAGCACAAGTAGCTGCCCACCCTCACTTTCTAGCCCACACACTCTACAGAAATGAGAAGGCGTATTCTTAGGATACAATCCCTTGCTAACTATAGTCCTGCTGAAGATGAGATCTGGAAATTCTGTCATCTCCTTGGCCACTGAGAGAGCATAGTTTTTAAAAGGGGTAATGGAGAAAGTCAGCCCTTGGAGAGAAGGGCCAAAGCTGTCCAGCCTAAAACGATTTGCCCAGAACCTGTCCATTTCTGCCTCTATTTCCCCTGGCCACCTTGCAACCTTTGTTTCTTCACATCTTGTCCAGTGAATTACAGATCTGGTGATGATGGGTGATATATTGTTACTCCAAACACACTCATATTTCCTAATATATCAGACATATTAGCATTGCTCCAAGGGGTTACTGGCTCACTAAGAATGAATCAGACTCCAACTTCCCTAATCTAATATGTTATCTCTTCAGGGGCATTTTTTGGTGTACGATCAGGTGACCAGAAAGGAAAAATTCCAGTTGGGATTTGAGTGTGCCAGTGTGTTTGTCTGAATCTGATGAACTTTTCTAACACACCAATTAGAAAAGAGCTGTGATTTTTAAATTATCTATACTACTGCCCACTCAGGTGGTATTTACTATAAGACTACACTAACCACCCTGATCGTATCTACTATATTGCTGAGGAAAGCATTTTGAAACTTCCACTGTAAGATTCTGTGTGTGTGTGTGTGTATGTGTAAAATGAATGTTTATTACAGAAGTTGTAGAAGGAGAAAGGGATGGGCACAGAGCCTTTGCAAAAGGACTGGAAGTGGAAGAAGTCAGGGGTAGCATAGGAAGCAAATGGGATTCTCCTATTCATCTCTTCTATATGCAGCAGGAGGTAGACAGACTCTACTGGGGTATGTCTCAGGGTTAGTACCCAAGGTACTACACAAAGATGAAAACTGAGTTCAAGTGGACAGGGACTAAAGGATTGTATCAGAGGCAGAAACATTTGTTATATGAGATTTTACACCATGAAATATGTGGGTGATTTTTGTTTCATAAAGGGTCTTACTTCCCCAGGTTTACTGAAACTTCAGTCTTTTCCTATTGCTGCTAAGGCTAGAAACCCTATCTGGCCTGGCTAGGAGGAAGTAAGGGAGGAAGGTTGGGTAATTCTCATCAAACATAGGGCTAGATTGTAGGGAGATGTGTAAGAGATCACCAAAAACTTACAAGGGCTTAAAAACATACCAAACCAAGCATTAATTATCTACCTGTTTACTCTACCTAACAGCTGGGTTTTAGATAGTATCATTAAGGATTTGTCCCTGAAACTGAATGCGTGAAGTGTCTTAAAAAATACAAATCAGCAACTGCTTAGTGGCATACATGTAATTGTTTAATTTTGAATTTATGTGGCCAAACCCTGAACATATGGAATTGTATCCAAGTATTAAACCAAAAAGGAATAAATCATCCCCAGAATTATGTCACAGTAATAGACCATAATCAGAATTTTTTTTTTTAAGATTTTTATTTATTTGACAGAGAAAGAGAGAAAGCACAAGCAGGGGGAGCAGCAGGTAGAGGGAGAAGCATGCTCCCAGCTAAGCAGGGAGACTGATGCAGGACTCGATCCCAGGACCCTGGGATCATGACCTGGGCCGAAGGCAGACACTTAACCAACTGAGCCACCCAGGCGCCCCACAGAATTTCTAAATTAAAAAGAAATCAGTATCCTAGAAAGAACATAAATCTTTCAAAAGAAGTTTTCAATTATTATATTTAAGAGAGTGAAGAAGATTTTGCCTTAATATAAGTTATAAAAATCACTATTCAAATGAAATTTAAACTGGAAATAACCAATCAGAACTGCAGATAAGATATTAACAACTTCATCATCCACTCTTCCATTTGTAGCAACTAGTTAACTACATTTATATATTCTCATGGCCAAGTTAGCTAAGAATGTGCAAGGAGTTCTCATTTCTAAAAAGATCCTTCCAAACAGTAACATTAGGGTAAAGAAGTGAAAAACATAACTTCATTCACTGTAAACTATTTTTAAAAGTCCTCAATATTTGCATTCCAGCTATTTCTAAAAGGACTTGAAAACATTTACGGATTAATATAACACAGAAAGAAAAAAAGAACTGAACATATCCACAGGATACACAATTGATAGATGTTCTGGGACACACATAGAGAAGATTATGGAAGAAAGACAGTAATTTTTGACTCCAAGATTTTTGGCAGCACAGAAGGAAAATACACTCAGTTTTTATTTCCTGAACACTCAGAATCATTTGTCTAGAACAAAACTTTTCCTACAGCTAAACCCAAAGTGGAATATTATACATGATATAAAGAATGAGTGACATGGTGAAGAGTATCTCTAGCCATGGCCTTACAGAAGTTTCAGGCAGGGAAAAACCATTCAATTGGTATTTCTGGGAAGGAGTCTATAAAGAGAGTAATTTTAATTGTAACTCAATAAATACTGAGTTATATAATACTTAGCATACAATTTAGTCCTTAATAGTTTATTGCACATTTTATAAGGTACTGCATTCACTAATTACTAACACTTACTTTTTAATTTTTCTATATCCTACTTATCAATTTTTAATTGTATCATAATTTTATCGTAAGTATTCTTCTGCAAATTGCCTCAAATATTTAATGAAATGAAATAGTACACATAAATAAGAATCACAAAAAAACTGCTTTTTACAAGAACACAGGGATTTAACTATGTGGATGCATTACTCATGCTCCCACTGGGCAAGCTAATACAATTTTCTTTAGTTGACTTATAAACATTACAAAAACAGAAACTTCCACTGACAACGACTGGACTCAGTAAAGCATACAACTTTATCTATCCTTCTTATGATATAGTTTTTAGATGATGTTGTGATTAATGTGGACATGAAGTTGAAATATTGTATTGTCAATGACACAGATGAATAATAAACAACCTAATGCAACATTTAATTGCAAAAAAGATCTTACCTTTTGTTGTGGTGTGGGGCCTAGTGATTTAGGTGGGAAAGTACAAGGTATTCTTCCATGATGGATATGATATGGTAATAACAGACTGGGATCTAAAGGGACCCAGGGAACTGAGAGACTAGAAGGCACACCAGGAAGGCCGCAATGTGTTTTATGCAAATTGTAGGCTGTCCTAGTAACTTTTCCATCAGAGGTCTTGTAGATCAGGAGTGAAGAATCTTCTGCTGCATGAGACAACAAGTAGGAACCCTCCTGCAAGCTAAATCATACAAGGAAATTTCAACTCACTGGCTCAGTGTCAACTTCAACAGCATGAAAACAATTACGGGAATGGAATACCACCTCTAAAAATTTTTAATGACCAAATAAGATTTAAGAAGTCTTATTTTTAACAATTTTCATGATTTTTAGGCAACTAATTTTAATTGTTATTCCAAAGTTCAGGATACATAATTACTTTCTTTTTACTGTTACCTCAGTCAATTTCTAAGTATTCAATAATTTAATGGGAAACAAACTGTTTGCCTAATTCTCTAATCCATGTACAACATATACTGAAAAGCATTTCATGAGTGTACATACATAGTATTCCTATACAGACCATTTTAATTCATTCAACAAACATAGCTCTTGCTTTGTATCCAGTAATATAAAGATTAAGAGATATAAAAGGGAATGTGGCACATTCACTACACTTAGCTTAAAATAAAGTGGAAGAAAAAAATGGAACAATCACAATACAATATGAGGTGCTATGAGAATAATAACAATAGCAGCTGATAGGTATTGAATGTTTATCATGAGCTAACTACTGTTATACTGCTTATATCCATTTTATTATTAAATCCTCCACAACAAATCTTCAAGCCATATTAATAATTCACCCCATATTACAGATAAGCAATTTGCCCGAAGTTCTGAGTGCAGGGCTTAGATATAAACCCAGGTAGTTCAATCCACAGGCCATACCCTTAATCATGATCCTCTACAATAATCACTTCTGTCAAACATCAAATCTACATTTTCTTTTTCTCCATATAAAGTTTTAAGGAATTCAGTGTATCAACATAAAGAGCTAAAAGGACAGGATTAATATTTTGTGCTTTATTAGGATTTTATATTCCTCTAGCTCAAAGGTGTTAAGGAGAACCTCAGTTCTTTCCCATATCATTTAAAATAAGGACTAATCATACTTTAGTTATATTCATCTGCCTATAAAACTGATAAGTTACATTTCCATTAATTTTTTTAAGCAGAAAAGTAATAGGTGCTGACAAAGGAGGTTCAGAGAATTATTCTTATCCTCTGGAAAACTTTTTTTTTGGAACAATGACTTTCATATTTTCATATAAGGAAATGAGTAATAATTGATTTGGTAGTAGGAATAAATAACATTTCAAAGATTGAGCTTTTATTGATGAAAATCATATATTTTAACTACCCTCACTAAAAATGAAGAAAGCTCTGGTTTACAGAGAATTTATGGAGAAGGCAAAACTTCAAGGAAGAGTATTTTAGAAGTGCCATACAGTGCAATGTACATGGATGGATACTACCCATTGGTGGGCAGAATAATGACCTTCCAAAGATGCCTAGATCCTAAACCCTAGAACCTATAGATATGTTACAGTACATGGCAAAGGGGAATTAAGATGGAGTTCCTAACCTGCTGATTTTAAAATGGTAAGATTTTCCTGGATTATCTTAGTGGGCCCACTATAATCATAAGAGTCCTTCAATGTAGAAGAGGGAAGCAGGGGTGAGATATAACTATGAAAGGAGTCAGAACAATGTGATGTGAGGACTCAACTTGCCTTTGAAACTTTGAAAAAGGAAGAGGGCCACAAGCCAAGGAATAAAGGTAGCCTCTAGAATTTTACAGAAGTCAAGGAAAGAGACCATACCCAAAGCCTACAGAAAAAAAAATTCAGGCCCGCTGACACATTGATTTCAACCCAGAAGACCTGTTACACTTACAGAATTGAAAGATGATAAATCTGTGTTGTTTTAAAACACCAATTTTGTGGTAATTTGCTATAGTTGCAGTAGAAAATGAACACACAAACTAAGATATTGATAATAAGATCTCAAAAAGCATTTGACAAATTTCATGTATAAGTACTGTGCTTCACTTGAAGAACACAATATCCAAAATAGAATTTCTGCCACAGAATCACAGAACTGAAAAGTACTTAGGAAATCACTGAACTCAACACCATCATTTTATAAATAATAAACTAACATATAGTTGCATATTAAGTAGGAGAGTTAGAACTTTGAAATTTTTCACTTTTATTTCAGACTCAAATTGTTTTTTAGTTTATCTTTTGGTAAGGGCATAACAGAAGGAGTATAAAAGTTCACATAATAAAACAGTCTGATAAATTATCAGGTGGAGAATCCATATTCTAAGATTTCTCATGGACTTAATATTTTTTAAGACTAGCTCTATGTTGCTTCCTTATCCTGAAAATGTAAACAATATAGCTATGCTAGGTTCCATAATGGCCCCCAGGATATCCACATCCTAATCTCCAGAACTTTTGAATGTTACCTTTAATGGCTTTCCAAGTGTGATTAAGGTACAATGTGATAAAGGAAGCAGAAATTTGAGTGATACAGTTTGAAGATGGAGAGAGGCCACAAGTCAAGGGATACAGGTTAGCCACTAAAAGGTGAAAATCAAGACAAGGAAATGACTGCTCCCTTAGAGTCCCCCAAAACAATCAGCCCTGCTGACACAAAATCATTTAGTCCAGTGAAAATGATTTTGGATTTCTGACCTCCAAAACTGTAAAAGAGTAAGTATGTGCTGTTTTAAGCCAATACGTTTGTGGTAATTTGTTACAGTGGCAATTGGAAACCAATACAACAAAGCATTAGAGAAAAATGTTTAATTGCAAGCAAGCCAGTTACTATCATATTGTCTTATTTATATTTTCACAATTTCAACCTTGACAAAATAGAATAAATCTTGCATTTCTAGGTTACATTCTATGATCCCTAATAGCATATATTCAAATTTTCTATGAATTTTCACCCAAGAAAATCACATATATCAATGCAAAATGTCCAAAAAACACTTACCTACTCAATTTCTTTAGAATGTGTTGGAGAATGTTAAATAAACTTGAAATCCTATTAAAAAGAAGAAATTCTTGTAAAATTAAATGACAAAAAAGGTATTCTTAACAATTACAGCTCCTGCGAAAGAGAAATACCCTAAGGAAAAAAACAAAACAAAACAATACCAACATAATAACAGAAAACAAAGAATACCAAAATCATTTGATTAAATTCTAATGTTTACTTAATTTTTACCATTTCCTGATTTCTCTTCAAAATCATAAAGTACTTGGCCTGTGTGAATCAGAGCAGTTGTAAAGAGATTACTATTTTATATTCAAATTAAAAACTTTTAAAAATGTTCAAGAAGTCTTTAGCAGAACTAATCTGCAAAAGAGTTTGCTGTTTAGAGATGGTGGTGAATTAGCTTCCAAAGAATCTGAGAGGTATTTTAAATGTGTGATACCAGAGAAGCCACTGACTGGCGGCAGAATAGTTAAAGGGAAATGAAATATATTTCTTTAGTACCTATTCTAGCCCGAAATTCATTCCCCCTACGATTTATTTAAAAATGGGTTTCATTGGGAAAGGTGGGGCAGGCAGTGAGTAATGTACAGAAAAGCTTTTTTATTCATGTAAAGAAAAAGTTACTCTTCAAAGGAGGCAGTCCTTATAAATAGAAGTGGACATTTCTAAGAACAAGCAGAGAATTCAAGATTGAACCTGAAACCCTTCGAAAATTGTGTCAAGCCCCAAAGCCAGAACTATGCAACCAGTGTAAGTCAGGACAATTTCTCATCCTAATGGTGAATCAAACATATTAATTACCAAGGTTGCCACTCTAGCTCAGCTGTGTGCTCTGGAGCAAGTCACTCTAAGTCCCAGTTTCCCCACACATAAAATAGGGATAATACTCCCACCAGTCCTTTCTAGAAAGCTATGAGATATAAATTAGATATTTGTAAGTTATTTTCCTTTGCATTTAGGTATTTGGAGTCCTGAGCACAATAAACTCATTTCAGTATGATGTACAGTAATATGTGACACAGGGGAAACTTTTAGAAGTTAGGATGTCTAAAATCCTTAGAGTTGAGTCTATATGACTGCCCTGTTCTTTCCCATCCCTGAAAAGGAGTGCTCCCATGCACCTCCCAGACGGTGGGCTCCTACTTGTGCTCTAGCCTCCTTTGTCTGAAGTAGAAAGACTGGTGCCACTGGTATTTGATTTAACTTGAAAATGGACATGATCAATAGAGATGGATCACAAACTGGGTTAGGGGAAGCCTCAATGTATAAAAGGATTAAAAGTCTTGAAAATAAAGGACTTAAACTTAACCAGTATTTAGAAATAAACAACTATTAGTGATTACATTAACACGTTTTAAAAATCCCACCACAAAGTAAACTTTCTTACTTGAGTGCTGAAAGTTTTTCTTTTAATTCTTCTGAGCTAATTTCTTCTAACAGAAAAAGTTTTGAAGTAAATGCATCGATATGCCCTAAAATAAAATATCAAACTTAAAAACAATTGCAGTATTAAAAAAAAAGTTATCCAGTCTTCTTAAAGATGTTTTTACAAAACTGTAACAACTGTAAAGGAACTATACATTCTAAAAAGAGGAGAATTATACATTTTATTAAGTTTATTAAGTAAAGCTGTATTTTATTTATTTTTCTAAAAGATTTGTATTTCAGAGAGAGAGAAAACAAGTGGGGGAAAGGGCAGAGGGAGAGGGAGAGAGAGAATTTCAAGCAGACTTTGTGCTGAGTGTAGACCCTGACACAGGGCTCAATCTCATGACCCTGAGATCATGACCTGAGCTGAAACCAAGAATTGGATGCTCAACTGACTGAGCCACCCAGGCGCCCCAAAACTGTATTTTAAAACGACACAAAAGTATTAGTTCTAAAATATCTGCTGAATACAGGAAAGTTTACACATGTGTACACCAAAAAATAATCTCTAAGACCCAAATTTAAGAATAACAACTGTTAAAATATTCGTGTTTCTGTTTCCTATCTCCTGAAGGAGATTCCCTGCTGAGAGCGGAGCCTGACACAGGGCTCAATCCCAGGACCCCGAGATCATGACCTGAGCTGAAATCAAGAGTTGGCTGCTTAACCAACTGAGCCACCCAGGCAACCCCACACCTGGTTCTTAAGATAAAATTCGATTATAAAAATCCAGTTTAATTATTTATAATAACCAAGATACGGAAACAACCTTAAGTGTCCAACAACGGATGAATGGGTAAAGAAGATGTAGTGTATATATACAATAGAATATTACTCAGCCATGAGAAAGAAGGAAATTCTGCTATTTATAACAACAAAGACATACTTAAGGGCATTATGCTAAGTAAAATAAGACAGAGAAAGAAAATACTACATGGTATCACTTATATGTGGAATCTAAAAATAAAAGTCAAACAAAGGCTGGGGGAGGAAGGAATAGAGAGAGGTGGTAAAAGGGTACAAACTTTCAGCCATATAGAGTCTGAGAATCTAATGTATAATATGGTGACTACAGATGATAATACTACATTGTATGATTGAAATTTGCTAAGGGAGTAGAACTTAAATATTCTCATCAAAAAAAAAAAGGAAAAATATAAATATGTGGGGATGGAGGTATTAACTAACTGGATGGGAGGAATCATTTCACAATGCATATGTATATCAATTCATCATGATGTACACTTTAAATATCTGACAATTTGATTTGTCAAATTATACCACAATAAAGCTCAAAAAAAAAAAAAAATCCGGCTTCTAATTAAAGCACACAAGATTCATCACGGTTAAAAAAAAATAGTCTGCTTAAAGTCTTACTTTCTTACAAACATGACATAATTCCAGAATTCCAAGAAACAAAGTAGCAAATGGTGTCACTTTCATTTTAAAAAGTAATGTGTATGTTCTACAACAACATAGTTTAAGACAGGACACTTAGGCCTTGAAATGTACCAAGAAGAATGATATAAAAGACAGCCCTAAGTTAAATGTTATATAATCAAGTCAATACAAAAACCAGAGTTAAAAACATCAGTTAGTATGACAAGAGTGTAACACTCATCAATGCTGAAAATATCATTTTTTACTTTTATTTTTGAACTTGTAGTACTTAGTTATCAAAACACATTACCTGGGAAGCTGATGTCAATCACTGAGACAACAAAAAATGCACATAATATCTAATTTTCATATAAAGCCCCCTTTCATTTGCTTTCAGCTCATAAAAAGAATTAGAAACATTTTTACCAGATGCTTTTCTTTAAAACAACGAATCTATTTTTTCCACGCCTACTTATTATTTCCTATGCCAAGTTTTAGTTTCACCTCTACATTTCTAACACTCATTATACAGTGACATTTCTAATAACAAAGACACATTTTAATGCTTTAGTAACTGTAGAAAGGGAATATTAAATACAATAAAACATATTTAGATACTTACTAAATATGCCTTTGAGATTAACAAGTCTTTGCTTTTTAAAGAAATCTCAATAAAAAATATGTATTACAGTATATGTCAAATATGGTCAGCCAAAAATAACTCTGCACAGAACGCCATACTAAGTGCCAGGAGGCCTACTTCTTCAAGGAGTTAACAATTCTCTCAATATTGGCACATTTTCTCCTGGGGGCCTCAAATGACTCATATGTGTGGTTGAAATATTTATCTCCCAGGCCCTTGGGGCAGCTGAGCAAGGCTTGGGATGGAAAGTTTCCTGGCCACTCCACTTCAGCCATGAGAAATCTCTTTTGTATATCACAGCGCTATCCAAGTATTTTTTGCGTGTCAAGGTTGGGAAGCACTGCTTTACAGAGTACAAATAAAGCCTTTATATAATACAATTAAAGGCTTTATATACATGCATCCAATCATACATACACACATATATATACATACATACGAACAGGCAGTCCTTGCTTTGCATGCAGTATGGGATGATAAAAATGATACAAGCTGAAACCACGCAAGCTATTTTAATGATGTAAAAAATGATAATTGTTCCATAACCTTTAAAACTTTTTGTCAAGAGGTGCCTGGGTGGCTCTGTCAGTTAAATGTCCAACTCTTGATTTCAGCTCAGGTCGTGATCTCATGGGTCATGATCAAGCTCCACATCAGGGTCTGCACTCAGTGGGGATCTGATTGAGATTATCTCTCTCCCCTTCCCTTTGCTACTCTCCCCACTTGTGCATGTGTGTGTGTACTCTCTCTCTCAAATAAATAAATAAATCTTAAATTTTGTTGTTGTTGTTGGGACACCTGGGAGGCGCAATTGGTCAAGACTCCAACTCTTAGTTTCAGCTCAGGTCCTGATCTCAGGGCTGTGAGATCAAGCCCCCTGTTGGGCTCCGCACTCAGTGAGGAGTCTGCTTAAGACTCTCTCTCCTCTGCCACCCACCCCCATGCTCTCTCTCTAAAATAAATAAATAAATCTTAAATTTTTTTTTGTCACATTATGAATTCTCCCTCAATTATAAATATATAGGGAAATGAAAAAAAAAAGCAAAACTAATATTTATTTAGTATACTGTAATTTAAAACATTAAAAACACTGAAGGTATTTTATTTTTTTATAAAAAAAACTTAGCAGGAGCAGTTTGAACACTGCTTGTCAAACCTTCTTCTGGAACAACTTATGATAGGAAGCATCTTTTCTATGCCGTGGATTGTCATACTCCTTTCTAAGTTAGGATCAGCTTCCAACATTGTATCCTTTGTGTTTTATTATGTTTTTTTTAAGATCTTATTTATTTGACAGAGAGAGCGAGCACAGGCAGGGGGAACAGCAGAAGGAGAGGAAGAAGCAGGCTCCACTGCTCAGCCCCAATGTGGGGTTCGATGCCAGCACCCCGAGACCATGACCTGAACCGAAGGCAGATGCTTCACCGACTGAGCCACCCAGGAGCCCCTCCTTTGTGCTTTAAATGTCAGGAAATATCTCCTTCATGTAAAATCTTATACGGGTATCACTTTTTCATTCTTTATGTCACAACTACTTTCCTCATTTATGTCCCTAAATTTGCCTTCACTAAATTCCTGTGGCGGCATATCTAGAGTCTCTTGAACATCAGCAGTGTCAACATTCCCACTATCAGCTGTTTCTCCTGTAACTCCAGTTATGTTCACTTCGAATTTCACTTCCTGCAGTATCACTTTTTATTTCTTTGCTGTGCTTTAATCATTGTTGGCCAACTCTTTGATTATCCACTTTTATAAAATTACATGAGTTTATCACTGGGAGACAAGGATGGAACACAAATACACACTTTGTTTTTTGTGTATGAACTCAGTAACAGGTGCACAGTGACCACTGACAGAGTTTGGAAAATGGGACATGACTGGTCATTGGTCATGATGTGCATCTGTTATTTATGTAGTGATATGTGGACTGAAGAGTAAGCGGTGAAGTAGTCAATACACTGTAGTAACTGCAACTGGTTTATCTCAGAACTGTGCAAAAGCAAGGCCTGCCTTATGTCAACTATATAGAACTGATATATATTAAAGGATTAGGAGGTAGATACAGAAGTTGTGATAAGATTACTTTGGGAATTTTCTTTTAAGATTTTATTTATTTATTTGACAGAAGAGAGAGTGAGCGCACAAGTAGGGGAAGCGGCAGGCAGAGGGAGAGGGAGAAGCAGACTCCCCGCTGAGCGGGGAGCCCAATGCAGGGCTCGATCCCAGGACCCTGGGAATAGGACCTGAGCCGAAGTAAGCAGCTTAATGACTGAGCCACCTTTGGGAATTTTCTTTAAGGAGTATCTTTCAATGTTTTTATGGGACCTGAAGATAAAAAGAGTACTACAACTGAGGGGAAGAGAACATATTCATAGTAAAGTGAAGCAGACAAACATTAACAACAACAACAAAAGTATATTTATTCTACCTGAAAAAGAGACTATGAGCTACAGAAGTGGTTCTCAAGATGCAGGCCCCAGACTAGCAGCATCAGCAGCACCTGAGAACATGCTAGAAATGCTAAGTCTTGGGTCCCAATCTAGACCTACTGAATCAGACACAGTAGGGTCAGGGCCAGCAATTTCTACTCTAACAAGACCTACAAGTGATTCTGATGAGCCACCATGTTTGAGAATTACTGAACTCATTTCCTACAAACCAATGTGCTCTTCAGTTAAAGAAAGTAATTGAGATCTTATATCACTTTATCTTGTAAGACATGTTTTATCTGAATCACGCAATCATGCAAATAAACTCTATCCTCACTGATCTAATGTACGGACCCCCAAATTTGATTTTTGAGGAGAAATTATCTTAAATTTCCTTGAACTCTTGAGATCATAGTCTGGACAGGGAAAAATGACAACAAAATGATTAAGATAAATGGAGGAGTGGCTAGCATTGGTTGAGAGGAAAGCTCAGGCCACAGCTGAGGAAGGACTATGGTGCACAAGTGCATGAGAGAGAGAACATAAGTGCTTGGAAAGTTTGTGGTCAAGACTTTTGGAATCCAGTTTCTAA